GCGCTGAGCAGTTAGCTAGTGGCAGTGTGTTCTTCTGCAAATGTAATAAACGGCTGTGCTCCCTGGCTAGCTCACGGGAAGCAAGACCAAACGATACCTCCATCTCCTCCTTGTCTGAACTCGCCACAATATATTAAGTAATCCAAAGTATTCAGAATACGTTACTGTCATTGAGTAACGTAACGGAATACGTTACAGAATACATTTTGCGGCATGTATTCTGTATTCTGTAATGGAATACATTTTAAAAGTAACCTTCCCAACACTGGCCACAAGGTGGCAGCAATACCCACAGGAGACACTCTTCCTCTTTTTTTATGCATGAAGATAAGATAAGATAACCTTTATTAGTCCCACGCGTGGGAAATTTGTTTTGTTACAGCAGTGGAGAGTGGAAAGTTACATGGAAAATTAGAAGAAAGAAAAACACTGGAATAAGCTATCAATAGATACTGTGCGCAACTGTACACAATAGAATATAATAAAATAAAATACTGTATACAATTGAATAAAATAGAATACAAATGCTATATACAATTGAGTATAATACAACGATGCCAGAAAAGAGTATTGTACTTAGTGTTATTGCTATTGCACATGTGTGGATGTGTGTGTTTGATCGGTTGAAGTCTTTGTTGTGGAGTCTGACAGCAATAGGGAGGAAAGACCTGCAAAATCTCTCCATCCCACATTGTGGGTGCCACAGCTGCCACTGAAGGAGCTGCTCAGTGCTCTCAGAGTCTCCTGCATGGGGTGGGAGATATTGTCCAACAGGGATGACAGCTTAGCCACCATTCTCCTGTCACTCACCACTTCCACTGCGTCCAGAGGGCATCCTAGAACAGAGCTGGCCCTTCTGATCAGCCTGTTCAGTCTCTTCCAGACCCCAGCAGAGATGCTGCCCCCCAGCAGACCACACTGTAAAAGATGGCTGAGGCCACCACAGAGTCATAGAAGGTCTTCAGGAGTGGGCCCTTCACTCCAAAAGACCTGAGCCTCCGCAGCAGGTACAGCCTGCTCTGCACTTTCCTGCATAGGGCGTCTGAATTATGAGTCCAGTCCAGTTTATTGTTCAGATGAACACCAAGGTACCTCTAGCTGTCCACAGTCTCAATATCAATACCTTGGATGTTCAGTGGTTGCAGTGGAGGACGTTTGTGCCTGCAGAAGTCTACCACGAGCTCCTTGGTTTTACTGGTCTTGATCTGGAGGTAGTTCTGCAGGCACCAGTCCACAAAGCCTTGGGTCAGTCGTCTGTACTCCCTGCCGTCCCCATCAGTGATCAGGCCAACTATTGCAGAGTCATCAGAGAACTTCTGCAGGAAGCACTGGGTGGAGTTGTAGAAGAAGTCTGCAGTGTAGATGGTAAAGAGGAACGGTGCCAGAACCGTTCCCTGTGGGGCCCCCATACTGAACTCTTATGAATTGCTCATGCATTTCATGCATGACTCCATAATCTGCTTTTTACCTGGATGGCCAATGATGCACTTCTGTCTCCTGCTGATAAAGGTGTTTATATCCCACCCCTAGCTCCTGAAACTGTCAGGAGTAGTGCAACATCACTATGTAGTACATGCTGTTTGGATCAAACAGTGTGTGATGTTGTTTAAGCTTAGCACAGGATATACCAAGAAACACGTTTCAGGTTATAGATGGAAATAGAGGAAACAGTTTGCTAGGAAGCCTGCTGAGTCTCTCTTACGCAGAACCCTGTCCACATCTTCTAAGATGTTTTTCTACACAGATAAGATAAGATAACTCTTTATTGTCATTGCACAGTCATACATAGTACAGTAGTACAATGAAATTGGAAAACTGTCCTACGTCGGCACTACATATAACACAACACG